AATGATTTTAAAATCGAGTTTCATTCACCGCACGTCGTAAAAGGTGTGAAAAGAAACACAAAAACACAAAAATAGGGAGCCCAAAAAAATTATTTGCTATAGAACTTTTAAAAGAAAACTGGACTCTTTTGCGCCTTCCTTCCTTCGCCTGTTCACTACGATGCATACGCAGAATCGGTGCACGTCAGCCGAATCCACATCGCCTATTGGGTAAGAGCCTACCTCACCAGCACCGCGATCGTAAACAATAAATAGCCGGCGAATCTTTCCTAAAAGTTTTGTTAAATAATATTCAGATCCACATTTTGTAGCATAATTAGAGATGTGTGGCGAAAATTGCCAAATTTGATAATGCTGAGAGCCAAGCGCCATCTATCGTGTGGTAAACGAAGCAACTACTGCGCGTGCGCAGTAGGGCAGGGCCGCCAGTTACTTGGGTGACGGCGACCGACGAACATTTATTTTCTTTGTTTTCCTTCCTCTCAAAACTCTGACTGACTGAACGTTTATTTTTCTACGTGTTCTTCCCGCGCGTGCCGACTTCAAGCAGCAAGAAAACAGTACTTAAAACAGACCACGACGAACAAGAACGCTGGATTCACCGACTCCGACGAAGCGTATAGGCCTAGCAGGCATTCCGACTCGGCGCTGCGTTGCTTCGTCGCAAGACCGTCTGCCTACGACCGGCTGGCGTGCTAAATGGAATATGCCCGCGCGACCCTTGTGGACCCTTCCCGTATTATAGTTTGATCACTGACCTCAATTCTAGATTAAGAGGTGAGGAGGTCAATCTCTTCCCCTTGTTTTCCGAGGCAGTGTTGACGAACACTCGTCGAAAAGGGACTCTCGTCGATTCTATCTTCTTGTTTTGTGTGATATAGAGCTGAAATAAACGCCGTATGGATTGCCTTCGTAACACGGTATGTACACTTTGTTATTGGTATGCCATTTTTATTCTGACAGACTGCACGTCACTGTCGACCCCGGTCCAACCTTTCTTTGCCGAGTGTCGCGTCAGTATCGAGTTGCAATCGTAAAAGAACGGTCCCGAAGCGCTTACCAACAGCGCGAATACAAGACTTCCATCAAGCGCGCGCGTCCGCTCCGAGTGTAAGCAGGTATTTACGTGGCTCTTGCTGACACTCGTAGTTCAAACGTATCTTTTTTAACGTCGGCTCGCTCCTGCATCTCCGAGGCCGCGAAAAACGCCATCTACGTCGCTTTGCAAACGACTGACACGGGCCGGCCCTTCTGCCAACAATGACGGAGTGGTGACAAGACTCGCTGCACTTCCCAACAGGCATACCGGCGTATGGGACTAGTCCCATGCTGTCGCTGTAGCGCAACATATCTCATTGAATTTCGCTCAGCTGCGATGCGGCGATGAGAGGCGCCGATTCAGGAAATACGTCGGTGACATCAGCGCAGTAAAACCTACCGGCGCACCCCAACTCGTTGCCGCTAACACTCCCATTCTCCTACTGCCGAGAGAACTTCCGGTTCCGGAAACGGTCTACGTCACGGCTTCTTTTGCGGTCAGTTGGAGAGAATGAAAAAGTCGATATTTCAATAATTTTTTGTGTAAAAGTTAATAAACCGAGACGAAAACGGATGCCTGTTCGGCATTCAGTGAACATTGACGGTTTAATGTAAAAGTTATCTGGAAAAAGTAAAAAGGTCATTTCATGGTCCCTTTAAGAGCTGCGCTCGATTCGGTATTAAGAGAATTGTAAACGTCTTTCATTTTTTTTATATTAATAATATTCTTAATTTGTAACAGTTTTACTACCCGTGTTTGCATCTGCGGCCCCTCTCTATAATGCCTTTGAACCTTGTGGGCCATATTCAGTATCTAAATGAATAAATAAACCGAGGGGTATCGTTCCGCGGAGCTTCTTTGGGGGGCGGAGCCTCTGAAGCAGTTCTTACGTTAATGCAAGACTAAAGCGCGATTCAAACAGACTCGGAATACGGAATCCGGGAGCCGGAAACCGTACTGACGTAATCACTTCCGGCCCCCATTACGGATCCAAGTCTTCACAGTTTGGTTTGAATGGCGCGCGGCCACGGGCCCCCGTATACTCTTTCTAAGCGAATGAAGATGGGGGGGAAGGGGGGGGGTGGGGTGGGGGGGAAGGGCCAATAGTGAATACGCAGCGGGCGCGTTGGTCACTGGCTCTCGGGGGGAGGGGGGTGTGGGGAGAAAGGTTGCGGGGTAGGGGGGGGGGGGGGAGATAGAAATAGTTCTATAGAAGGGGAGGAGAAGCCGTGGGGGGTGGGGCCATGTCGGAAGAAGTGCGAGGGGGATTAATTTAGTTGTATTATGGTGCCTGGAACGCGTCTCCGACTGGTGTGTTTAGCGTTCTATGCTGCCCATATGTCAAAAGTGGACCCCAAGTGGCAACAAATGACGTCACAGAAGCCGCAGTGTCATGCTGTTGACTGTCGCAATCCTGGCGGTTGGCCGTAGAATTGCTGGCGAAAAGCGCGAGATTACGTGAGTGTTGCTGTCGTCAGGGCGTCCCAGGCGGCCCACCTTTCGGTTGCAGTAGCTTCCGTGGACTGTCACAGCGGGGAGCGACCTGCAGCAGGACAGGCGTCTGCCATTTGTACCACAACTGTTGAGACGCCGCCAGAGTCGCGACCGGCGACAGCACGACACTTCTATGACGTCATCAGGCGAAAATCGAGGGACCACTTCTTTTGGGCGCGGTAAACACACCAGGAGGAAATGCGTTCCACGCACCATAGTTGTATCGAATACCGGGTGGCCGGGGGATAGGGGTGGGGGGAGTTGGGGGTCCAACGCTGGAGGCTGGCACAGCGTGGTGTCCGGCGATCAAGCAATCGTCAGGGGCGACCACGCCGTGTGGTGGGAGGTCCCATTGTATACGGGAGCTGGGCGGAGGAGGGATGCGCGCCGTGCTGATTGGCCGCGGAGAAAATACGGAAACCTACGTCACGACACGGAAAGGAGAAAGTTGAGAAATTTTCAACTCTTGACTACGGGTGCCGGAAGCCGTAATTACGTCACCACCTGTACGGAGGGAGCGCTGACGTCACTACTGGTTCCGGCACCCGTATTTGTATTACGGGCCTGTTTGAACCGCGCTTAGCTAAACACTGTGCGACAATGTTGACACGACCACCGATTTCCCTGGACTTTAAGAAATTCAGAATGAACGCGCGGCACCATTTAATTGCTATTCCAGGTTCTTTTCAATATGTAAAAAAAGTTTTTTTTTGCTTCGTAAAAATAAGTGGTTAAAGGAAGCGTAACGCAAACTGATGCGTGCGTTTGAATTGTATCTTCGTTTTATCTCTAATAATAGATACGTCATGACCATTAGGGTTGGTGCAAGAATATATGTGTAACTTTACAAGAAAAAATACACACACAGTCTCATTTTATATAAGATATCTATTAAAATATATAATTCATTAATTGTTTCATCCACTGAAAAGAGGAAAGCATATGTAATTTCAAAATTTGCCTGAACATTAATAAAATATTAATATGTTTGAAGAAAACAACAACATCAAAATATGCTTGTTAGTTCCAGGAAAGTTTCGAAACATAAATGGTTGCATTCCTTTTTACAGTTCTATGTGTACAGATTTTGCTTCTCTTTGTTTCCACCATATTTTTTCGGTTGAAGAATACAAAGGGAAAATTTACTGGGCAACGTTGTGTTCAGTGCAGTGACCGCTTCACACCGCGTCAGGCAATTTCTAGCCGATATTTTACCCTATTAAAATCAACTAAAAAAAGGAAGCTTCAGTCAAGGAGCAACTCGCTCAGTTTGTACGTCTCCAATAGTAAAATGGCAGTGAATAAAACACGTTAGGACAATTTTGGCATTGTCTTTTTCACGAATCACGTAATATAATTCGGTGTAACTGGCTATGGCAACAGGAAGGAAAAAAATATATCAGTTCTTTCCAAGCGTAAATGGGGTTTCAGAAATTGTCGCACTAGCTGATAAATTTTTATTTGTGGAGCTTTAATCGAATATTTTTTTAGTCCACCGCTCTTATTATCTTTATGAACACTATAATTCATAAATATTAAAAATAATGAGAAATTTATGCAAGGCTATGCTAGCTGTAACGTAAATAGGATGACCTGCGTCACATATAAGGGGCCGGAAACACAGTTCGAGAGGCTCAAATGGGACAGCACTCAGAAAATTGCTGTCTTCTGCACCTCACATGTGCAAAGGTTCTGGGGGTTCCTAGCTGGTATCGTAAGTATAGAGCAGGTAACTCTTAAAGTGGCTACCTGTCGCATGTTACATCAGACAACGTCCAGTGTGGCCTTTTTCTGGTGTAATATAACCGTAATAATAAATGTAACATAAACAATTAAAGGTAATTAATCTCAATATAACAAATAAAAAAAAAAACTAATCTCAAAATTTTGTTTGTCTGTTCATTCGCCGATCTCCCGCCAAATTTAGCAGAAAATCGATACAACGTGACATTGTTATGTCACCTGACACCACGACCTTACAGAGCGATGCCAGGTCACACGCTTTGACGTCAAGCAAATTTTCAGCGCTAAATTTTGAAGGAAACATTGTTACAATTTTACACGACTCCACGCGAAAATTTCATGCTAAATTTAGTAGGAATATTGATGTCAAGTGAAGTCATTGTTTACCATGACACCGTGACCTGACATTGACACCCGGTCGAATGACTCAAAATTTCGCACAATGTTTGGTCACGTGATGTAATCTTTCTTGTTAAATATAACAGGTAATTATTAAGCAATATTTTTTACTCCCCTAGACGACTGTTTAATGTTTTCTAAACTAATTGAAATGATCGCTCCTTAAAAATTTGCATAGAACACTGGGTATAACGCTCGCTGGTGATTATTGTTTTCTCAAATTCTCACTTGCCATGAATGTTGTGGTCTATAGCTTTGAACACTACAAGAATCGAAACGGCAAAACAAAGACACGTGTGTAACCAAATCAAAGGAGTCACATGTTTCACAACTGGGACTTCTCGTGGAGAACTTCGGAGACAACAGGGGGTTTCTTGTCAGTGGTGAGAGACTTCATTGGCTTATCGAATATTAATTTCTCAATTTGAAGCACGGGCGCCTCGCAGCCCAGGTGTAAGAGGTACGCGAAGAACACACTGATGCAGAAGACACCCAGCGCCGTAGTAACCTGCAAACAATGGGGCCATATGAATGCTTGTTAGTAACATTACTATATTGTTTTGGTTCTTGGCTACGCCACTTCTGGAGCGCCATGACGTATGTACCGGCACTAAACTTGCTTCTAAAGGTCTGAAGTCTTCTGGTGAAAAATATCATTTGACTGAGTGAAATATACACACAAAAACAGATAAGTTGATATTACACATATACGACTTGCACGTTTTTTTATTAAGTTACCGTATTCTTACTGGACACACTATAATTTGCACTTTTTCTATGAGACAAGGCCAATCCGCCTTTTGCCATAGCAACAATGTTTTGAGTGATCGAAGTCAGTTTAAAAAATATCCAATTACCACAATTGTTGGTCACCAGGAAGAGGTTGCAGCTCACATAACATAGGGAAATACTTCTAACAATTGTTGGAAGACTACAGTGCAGGGATTTTAAGCTGCTAACGTCATCGCACAAATCTGACACTTGCTAACTCGTACCTGCTGCAAAACACGCTTTTAAGAATATAGACGGCAAGAGCGTTCCTTTTCAAACTACAGTTGTGATTGTTTATTTTATCTGCTACCGTAAACTTCTACACGTATTTGTATTTACGAGCACACCGGTTTCTTTTTTCGGTGTAAATTAATCGTTAGGGCAAAGGCGAACGATGAAATGTCGATAGCATAGATATTCGGAACGCCGATAGCATGTTCTCAGAAATATTATTTTTTCAGGCACAAGAGTTATGGACGTGGAGCTATCCTCGGCGTCGTCGAACTGCTTGAGGGGATGAGGTCGTGTTGTTTTTGCGTTATTGGTACACAAAGCGAGGTGGCAGATGATCTTAATTGAGCTATCAATGTACAGCGGGGGAAAAAAAAAGCTCTTAGTAGTATTGAAAATATCAGGCTGTACTTGACGTCTTTTTAAAGTGCTGTTTGTCTTTTTGTCTCTGCCCGTGGTGTGAATTATAAGAATGATGATAGTGAGCACTGGCCGCTACATGTAGTAAATTTCTAAGATTAAATGTTACGAATATAAAATAAAAATGATGCACATTTTTGTGGGAGGTTATTGGAGCAAACACGACCATTCAGAGCGGTGTGTCAGGCGCATTACTGATTGGGAGGCAGTTTTTCTTGAGGAATAGCTTCCTCAATGTAATTGCATGACTTATGTAAGACTCTTGCCGTACTTTACGTAGAAAAACAAATTGCAAACTTCAAAGGCAGCTTCCATTGATAACACATATCTGAATAATTGAATGATTCTGTCTCCAAGGGCCAGTAACAGTTATTTAATTAAAGCTGCGCTAGAGTATTGAACGTAAATGCCACATTGCAAGAACATTTAGTATTTTTTCGTAGCTGTGATTACTTGCTTACACTATATTCGCGACAATATTTATGATCAAGTTCTAAACATTGGTGTCTAGAAGAAATACACTATGTATAAACGTTTTTGGCAATGCGAGCTATTAAATTTTTACAAGCATAGAAATGCGTTGTTTACTTATTTTAATGATAAACTCGTCAGTAAGGCTACGATTGCAGCCTTCCCTAGCAAAAACGCCCAGTCTAAAGTTTCGCAATCTGTATTATGAAAGTGGAAATATATCTGAATTCTATTTGAATTTAATGTTTTCAGAAATTGATATTTTTTCTTCAATCTGAATTGCAAACAAATCCTAACATGCGTCTCCAGAAACAATTCCAGTTATATTTCCAGTTCCATAATCCAGATAGTAAAAATTATACTGCTTTTATTTGATAGGGTTGTAAATATGTGCATGTGCCATCTGCAAAGGCGACAAAGAAAGTTAAGAAATTTATTAACATTAATTACGTTCCTAATGAAAGAGAAATCTTTTTCTTGTCTGAGGATTATTGTTGCTCGAATTGCTTTGTTTAATTCACACTTGTAAAATTTAACTAATGAGTACTGAGGCAAGAAGTGTTACTTTTGTGAAAGTAACCGAAAAGCACCCCAACTAATGGTTTGGACAGCATCTGATGAGGTGAACCCAAGCCGTCTGCTCGCAAAGAAATCATTGCAGATTTGAAACCCATGAAAATTGAGCTCCATAGGTCTCCAGGTTGCTGCCTCCTCATTTCAACCTTACGGTAGTTATTATGTCATTTAATCATTATCTTTTCATTTTATCTGTTTTACTCCCTCTCCTTCCTTCAAGACAAGATAACAAAGGTGACCCTTCCTGAAAATCCTGAAAGACAGGCTATGCACCTATATTTTCTGTTTATAAACAATAAACTATCACGACAACTTATTTTCTTTAACATCTGTTGCATGTAAAGTCATGAAACATATATCAAAACACATATTTTATTTCTTTGAAGTCAACAAGATGTTTTATGCGAAGCAACATGTGTTTTGGTCTGGACTGTCAACAAATAACACAGCTGATTGAAATAACTCATGACACAGCGTCCACACTTAATGACTGACAACTAGTTGATGTCATTTGTGCAAACTTTGCACAATCTTTCGATCGGTTGCCACACAGGAAACTTATGTTAAAACTCAGAACTTTCAGAAATCACCCAATGATTACCAAGTGTATAGATTCATACGTACCTAACCAAAGTCAAAGGGTTGAAATTAACGGTCACGTGTCAAACCCCCTTCCAGTTTATTCGAGGGTACCCCTGGGTTCTGTTTTGGGGCCATTGCTGTTTTGATGTATATAAATGATATAGTACAGGCGACTCCTCCAAATATTTAAACCAGACTCTTCGCAGATGATTAATTTATTTATTCAACCATTAACTCAATTGACCAACATATTTCGTCAAATAAATATCTGGATCATATAAAACAATGGTGCCACAATTCTGATATGAAAAGAAACTACACCAAACCTGCATACTGCCATGTAACCAAAAAACGAAGCGTACTTCCATTAACATTCCGCGTTGGAGATACAGAATTGAGGAACGTAGAGTACTTGAAGTACCTCGGTGTCACTTTTTCTAGAAACTTAACCTGGATCAAACATATCGACACCGACTGCGCATCGTAATATCGAAAGGTTTGTTTTCTAAGACAACAATTAAAACACGCAAAGAAGGGGATTAAGACAGTAGCATACATTAGACCCATCCTAGAATATGATTGTCTCGTCTGGGACCCTCACTCAAAGAGAAATGTTGATAGGTTGGAAAAGACCCAGCGACAAGCTGCACGTTTTATTAATTCTAGCTACAGGCAGGCAGTATCCCCAACAAAACTGCTCTGAGCTAGCAATATAGAGCCTTTGCGTATAAGGCGCGAAATCGCACGTCTGAAATTTTTTTTTATCTAATCAATATTGACAAGCTAAGTCAAGGTCTGAATAAATATGTCCTCCCTTCAAATTAAAAAAAAAAACATCCAGTAGACTAAATCACTCAAAAACATGCCAAACTTAAAGTAGCCGAATAGATACGTTTAAGCAGTGTTTTTTTTTAATTTGGAATTTATTTATGAGCTTGGAATTTATTGCCCAGCGATAGGGTGAATTTGGAAACTGCGTTCCCCTTCGAGTATTCCATGGCACAGCTGCTAAATCAATAATGGTTCCACATGACGCATTTTGAAACTGCATTTTGTAATGTTATTTATGATAATTTCATTTGCCATATGTTAAGAATGCTACGGTTCCCCTTCGTTGCCATTGCCCGTTCTAAAAAAGGGTCGGTCTGCTGAATCTTCTATGTTTTATGTTGGCGTTTTTTATGTTGTTATAGGGATTGACATTTTCACTGTAATAGTCCTCAAGAGAGGGCTAACAGTATTTTCAAATAAATAAATACATACTGCTACTACTATTAGCACAACAAAAACAACAAATCTACAACTATTACCACTACTACTACTACTACTACTACTACTACTACTACTAATAATAATAATAATGAATTGGAGCTTACCTGAAAATATTCTGCGATATAGGTGTGGGTCTTCATGCTTCCGACCCGTAAAAGAATGAAGAGGAGGTGAACTAGGTAGATGCAATACGTTAATCGTGACAACGGCATAAACGCTGTCCAGGATAGGAACCCGTTTAAAATTCCTGAAACAAAACATACATAACCCCTGAGCATTCGAGATAAAAGGAAATACAGGCGACATTTGAACAAACCAGTATCAGGAGGGCTTCATGATGAGAAAAGTTAATTTAATATAGTCACCTGACAGCTTAACAAACACAGTCTCTTAAAAATGACTGCGCGGGTACTTACCCGCAAAACACTCGAAGAGCCAATCTCTGCAATCTACGAAATCAGCTGACCAAATAATGAAGCGGAACACCTGTTTAGACCTCAAAATTAAGTATGAACTGTGGCATTACGCAATCCAAGCAGGACTTCATTTTGAGCTCTAAACGGATGTTCCGCCTCATCATTCGCTGAGCTGATTCCGTAGATCGGAGATATTTGTTCTTTGTGTGTTTTGCGGGTAAGTAGACGCGTAGGTAATTCTTAGAGTGCATTGCAGACTAAGTCGTGAGCATCTCATCATCGCTTTCCAGCCAATGAGATTGTGGGATTAGTCGATGAGTATGCCGACGAGCACATTGTGATGCAAGGAGCGTGAAGAGAGAGGTTTAGGGGACCGTTTCTGCACATCCGATAGGGTACGGTGGGCCCTCCGGTACGCACTGCGGATGTTCGAATCTTCTACGGTAGTACATGCGCAGTTCGTACCAAAGGGCTCATCGTACCGCATCGAATGTGCAAAAACGGTTCTCTAATATTCTCTAAAAACGTACAGCGTTTCGTAAGTTCTGGGTTACTATACAAGCAATATTCACATAATTTTGCAGTTTGTGTTAAATCATTTTATAATAACCTGGCGAACTGTCAAATTTTGTTAGGCAATTATTAGTGTATTGGCTGTCAGATGCCGTGGTTGAAGTTACTTGACAATATGCATCATATTTGCAAGTTTGGGAAACCAAGTACAGAAATGCTTAGGATAATAAAAAAAAACCTTTTTCAAATATATTGCGGTTTTGTGCATCATGTTTTATTTTAAAGTTTTTATAAGCTTTAAAAAGGACAGAAAAATCCCAAGTGGCGCCAGATGGGCGCCACTTAAGCTGCTGCCTCTCGCAGGGAGGGTAGGGGGATTTTTTTTTTTACAGAAGGAACTTTGCTTGTGTTAGACCAACAGTGCCTAGAATAATAAAAGCGGCATTGTGTACCGCCATGTTTACCTCCACGTAACATCACCCCACTATACTCCGTTCAACCTGAAAGGTGCCCTGAGAGGTTTCTGAGACCCCCTAAATATGGCGATAACTCACTCTGCTGGCTCTAAGTATCCTAGAAATCCCCAAACCATGATGATACGCGGTCAATTTCCTTATTAAAAAGAAATAAAAAATCGCAACACATCGAGGTCGTCTCCGGCGATAGGAGGAGTATGTTCCGAAACAGAACATCTGTCAGCCAATAGCACGCGAAACGAAAGACAAATATGAAGTAAGACAACGCCCGGTAGGCTCTCCGCCGCCTTCCGTCGTGTTTTTCTTCTTCTCCCGGGCAGGATCAAGCTCTTCGCGTTTATTTGTTTTTGTCTTTTACACCCTTTCACCCTTTCAAGCCTCTTCGACGTCTCCCGCCACCTGCACAGACATCAAGCGCGGGTCCGTAATCCCTCGATTCGCGGGCTCACAACTCGCGTAACAGACTATGAGGCCAGGCGCGAGGGGGCCGAATTCTCTTTGTCTTTGATGTGCGCTACTGTATCTAGCACGATCTTGAGGCACGGCTGAACAGCGTCCGGAGCAAAGCTAAGAGCATCGTCTTCGAGGGTACGGACGATACTTATTTTGGTTTACTTGTCTGGGGATGGTGGTCGAGTCCACTTCTCACTTAACAGTCAACTGTCAACATAACGAGGGGGGGGGGGGGGGGGGGGGTAAATGTGGGCCATTTAAGGAGTGCTGACAGATAGAGAGAGAGACCGCGTAAAAGTGGTGTGATCATCTATTGCGACCAATTTTTTCTTGTCAGTTTTTCTGTGACTGGTCGAGTTTTCGGTCATAGAGTGTCCGTCGTCTCCATGGCCATCTGTCAGATGTTCAAAATTCAGGGCATTAAGGAGAAAGGAAACCTAGAACTTCAGTGCATACTTCGCTTGCCAAAAAAAAAATTGTCATCAGCAAGACAAACTCTAATCTACGGGAACGCATCAAGGTAAGCTGGTAGACCTGCATTCTGCATTGTCTATACATTGTAACGTTAGAACCAACTTTCTATTTTTTGTGAATAACAGGCGAAATACCCGAGTCAAAAGGGAGCTTTCGTAGATCACTTCTTTAGCTCCAAATCGCCGAACTGAGCTTGCGCACAGCTAGCTTTGTGTGCACAATTTCAGGGATCATTTCCGAAGGCCGAAAGCAAGCGGGATAGGGGGGGGGGGGGGGGGGGGGGCTGCAGGTTTCGGAGCCTTGTCAGCTTACAGGTGAACGGAGTGCACCCACAGTCTTTCTTAAATACAATATTTTTTTACAAGGACTACCGTAATACGGGCGTATGAGAAATGACAAGAAGTCGTTGCAGAAAATTTGTAAAAAATGACAAAATTGTTTCCATTGTTCGCTGAGTAAGGCTACGAAGAAAGTAACGTGAAAGTAATTTGTAAAGTAACAAGTAAAGTAATCCGTTACTTTTCAGCGAAAGTAATTTGTAACGGTGATCCATTACATTTTCGACTCGGTAATTTGTAATTGTAATCCATTATATTTTTTAAGTAATGAGAACACATCTGGTTATAGGCTATCGATCGTTCATCGATAACCTGTAATTTGCTCTCTTTATGCTGCTGAATGTTCTGCTCATATTTCTCCAGTTACTGTATTATGGTCATATTTTTAAAAAGGAACGAGTAATTAAAGTAATCTGTTACCGATATTTTTAACGAACATACAATATAAATTACTTCCGAAAAAAGTAACATGGCAATTACAAAATTACTTGACAAAGTAACGGCTTAGAAGTAATGCGTTACTTGTAACGAATTCATTCCCAAGTCTGCCTGCAACCGCCACTTTGTCTCTGACTTGTCAAGTTTTTGGTCATAGAGTGTCCGTCGTCTCCATGCCTTCTATTAATGAGATGTTCAAAATTCAAGGCGTTAAGGAGAACGGAAGCCTAGGGTTTCTGTGCATACCTTGCTTACCAAAAGGCAGACATTGTCATCAGCCAGAACAACTAACTCTAATCTACGGAAACAGATCAAAGCAAGCCGGGACACCTCCATTCTGCATTGGCTATACATTGTAACTTTCGAACGAAGTTTTTTTTTTTCTTGTGAAGGTACACGGAGTGCACCTACACTCTTTCTCTTAAATGCAATATTTTATTTTTACAAGAACTAGCATAGTAGTGTTGCAGAACATTTTTGGATATCAAAATTGTTTTTATTGTTTTCTGTGTAAGTGTACAGAAAAGTAAATTTGTATTGTAACGATTAAAGTAATCCGTTACTTTTCAGCGAACGTACCTTGTAACGATAATGCATTGCATTTGAGGTTCAATACTTTTTAATTGTAATCCATTACATGTTTCAGGTAACGAGCACAAGTCTGGTCACATGTCGTCCATGGCTGTCCAAACAACGCTCCTCTCATCGCCGGAGATGACCTCAATGTGTTGGATCTTTGATTGCTTATTTAATGGGGTAATCAGCCTCGTTATGATTTATAGATTGCTAGGATGCTTCGAGCCGGCAGAGTGAGCTATCGCCATACCTAGGCGATCTCAGAAACCTCCTCAAGCGCCCCTTAAGCTGAGACCGCGGCCAAAGATACAAGCGCGACTTATAGCCCGTCCTCCTGGCTTTGAGACGTGCATTTCTGTGGAAGAACGCTTCAAAGCAGCGACCTCGAGCTCCCACATTTGTGGCATTGGCTGCAGCCTCAGCTTAAGGGGGAACGAGGCATCGGAAGGAGCCAACGCACTACTTGGGCCGGAGCCTGACACTCCGCGTCTTTCTACGCTATGAATGAACGAGAAGCCCAGTCGAAAGCTGACCTAGCGCGCACGTGCATGGGCGTTGATTGTTCTATAGACGTTTAAAAAAAAAGTGCTCCTGGCTGCTTCTATTTTCAGTGTTCGTGCGTATGGCACGTGATTTACACGCTTTCTGAAGCGACAAGCATGAGCGTGTTGGGCTGAGGAAATCGCACGCTGGCCGGAGGAATTGTAAATATTGAGATATTGTGTAGTCTATTACAGCTAAAAAAAAAGCTCCGGCGGTGGCTTATTATGTTTAAACGTCTTGGTTTCTAATTCGTTCTTTGTCCTTATCGGCTAATCACGCAACTTCATTTGCTGTAGAGCACTGATAAGATGTCCGGGACCTGGCACGCCCTGCGCTTCTTATTGCCGGCATTGACTATAGGTGCTGTACCGTTGGTTCGATCCTGGTAATCCAGCTTAATACGAAGTTATTTACTTTTGATGAACATTCTGTATTATTATGTATGTATTATTTTTACTCCACCTCTTCGTTGGTTAAAATTGAAATGTTCTGTATGTAAATGGTATGCTTTGAGGCTTTGAGTGATTATTTAGTTGGAATCTTATGCTGCACTGTATGTCAAGTGTTGGGGGGCAGGGGCCTGTGAAGCTGCAACCGTAGCTTTTTCCCCTGCTTTCCACACTCGTTTGGGGTGAATATATGTATATCGTAAAAAGTAGGTAAGTGCTTTAAAACGTATTTATGGGACGACTTTCCTAGCGGGGACCGCTCTTCATCAGGTCCTAATGTTGCATTGAAAGCTGGAAGCCTGCCACTTTGACACGGCGGCAAAAAGAAAAAAAAAAAAGGAACATTGAGCAAAGGCGAAAAAACAACTTCTCAGGACCGACCATGGGTAGACGAAGGCCGCGGCCGAAGGTGCCCCGCACGCATCCCCAAACAACCTCCCGCTCGGCAGTGTCCAGAACGAAACAAGGGAATAAAACAAAATCAAGTATATATATATATATATATATATATATATATATATATATATATATATATATATATATATATATATATATATATATATATATATATATATATATATATATATATATATATATATATATATATATATATATATATATATATATATATATATATATATATATATATATATATATATATATATTTATATTTATATATATAATTATATATATATATTTATATTTATATATATAATTATATATATATATATAACTTCCGGAGTAGCTATGCTATAAGTTTATTGCATGTATTGACTCCGTAAGTGTGACGTCATGGGTCCAAACAAACCGCTGCTAGGGTCGTTGTTATGGACAAATGCATGTGGCTAGGTTTCGCTACTAAAACCCGACCGTTCAAAAATCGGGAGTAGGGTTTAAACTTCTAAAAATCACAGATATAGAAAGCTTGTATGTCATATATATTTCGACAGAAGTGTGCCGGTAATCGCTTGTTTTTGAAATATTTACGACTGCAACTTCCGGTCCTCAAGATGCCTGCAGCAGACGACGAATGCAAGAATGCCGTCTGCCACACGCCCGCCGACCAAGCCGGCGCCGGCGTCTGAATCGGGTGAATAAAGACGATATTCTGATATTGCATTTGGTTGAAATACAATAAGTTTCAGACACTTATAAGAATTCATAATGGGGTGCTATGCAAAATATGGTTTATCGAAAGTCCGGGCGTCGATCGAGATGATCGTCTGCTAAAAGATCGCATTGCTCCCGTTAGAAGAGCACTTCAGGTGATCGGCTGAGATCCCAAATTTTGTTTGCGGACTCGCGCTACGGGAGGATGTTTCGTACCTGGTTGTAACCATCGCGTGGAGAAAGATTCTTGCAGTTTCTTCAGATTTCCGCAAGACCCCAAAGCGCGAAAGAATTGGATAAACATAAGCTGAGTTTAACAGATTGTACTCTCATCGCGGGTTCAATGGAGATTTGCGATAAGGAAAGAGGAACATTTAAGACAAACATATATTAAATGTTCCTCTTTCCTTATCGTAAATTAATAAACAACACGCTCAACCATCTACCTACATCGATGGAGATCTTCACCGAAAGAGCACATCCACTAAATTTAATGTATACAAAAAAAAAAAAAAAAAGAATGCGCAATTGCGATAGACATGCAATATTTTAATAACCTGACAACCTCAATATTAATAATAACAAACGACTTACCTCGACGGTGTACGATTTGTTTCCCATGCTGGCCTGCACTACGCCGCCGGTAATGCACTTCAGATCGTCGTCATAAATGATCTGCATGACGCGGGTTGATTTTACGGAATTTTCGCCCCTCTGAACAAAGCTGGGTTCTTCACAGAAAAAAAACGCACATTGCGAAGTCCTCTGTGGCCTTGGCGATGCACTTGCATGCAGCAAATCTATCGTGTCGTCTGCTACCGAAGCAAAGGGGAGTGGAATACTTCAGAAATGGCTTTCATCGTTGCAATACGACGCTGAGATGACAAGGACATCTTCATGATTAGATATCGAGAAGTTAGGTTGCTTACTAAAAATTATTTACTTACTTATAAGCAAAAATCTAGCCTCATGTGGAGTCTCCGTGCATTAGTCCATAGCAACGCCCCTAGCAACGGTTTGTTTGGACCCAGACGCCCTGTTGTGACGTCATCACTTACGGGGTCAATTACGACAGTTTCGCCGAGAGGTGCGGCGTCCTCAGGAGATGGCATACATGGCCCATGTATGCCATCTCCTGACGATACCGAGCCTCTCGGCGAAACTGTCGTAATACATGCAGTAAACGTCTAGCGGAGCTACTCAAAAAGTACGGATCTCTGAGTGATATATATATATATATATATATATATATATATATATATATATATATATATATATATATATATATATATATATATATATGTGTATATTCAAGTCGAACTTAGAATAATGCATGCTAAGTAGTTCTCATGAGCGTTTCATGCAATCCCTTATCAATTCCACGTTTTAGCTCCGACGTGCTCTGTTTCGTAAAACTTCTCAGCTTGACAAGTGAGACAGCCTTGTCACCTATTACTCTGAGAGGGTTGACAAGTAGGAAGGAAAACGATGATGTAGGGCTTATCAAGGTTGTTAGCGCCGTATTTTTATAAGAAAACCAAAAAGAAACTAGCTGCTTTCGCCTTTCTCAAGTAAAATAAAATATTATAAATAGCTACATGTTCTCGATAAGTTTCCGCGACGGATATAACTCAGCGACATAACTTCTCTATCGCGCAATGAACAGTTTTTCATCGGTGCTCGGGGGCCCTATGCTACACTGCGGGACCAAGGGACCGGGACAACACCGTCTGCTGCGCCGCTGACCAATAGCAGCAGACGGCTTCGTCCCGATCTCTTGGTCCCGCCGTGAAGCATAGCACCCCTGTTCTCCTAAAAATTGGGTCTACGGACAAACCTCCTCGTCCAGTGGCACATGCGTAGGCCGGCCATGCCAGGCCCAGAGACCAGAAGAAGCGGTGAAAGCCGCCGTACAGTGCGTTGGCGATTTCATTCGGTAACTGGCCTCGATTCCACCGGAATGTGATGAACATCACGGACGTCGTGAGGCCCAGTGAGATGAGCCAGAGAGCTGCCCGCACAATCTTGAATACAGAGAGAAATAAAAACAAAGATAAGATAAAAGAAACTGAGAGAAAAAAAAAAACCGTTTGTATTAAAGCATTTACAAAGCACTTACAAGGGACAACCGATGCCATCTACGGAGGAACGCGAAAGACTAGAACGAGAATATGTCTAAACATAATGAAAGAGCCTTCATTGCGTTACTGCGCATGGTCAAATGTCATGCTCAGTTTCACAGTGGAGGGGTATAGGATGTTTTTTTTTTTAAAGGTATAAGCTTATGCCCCGAAACAAAAATCATCACTCACTCCTGCACTGTGGAGCTGTGCATGACATTTGTCCATGCTCCACGACGCAGCGGAGGATCTTTCTTTAGGTCTAGACACATTGTTGCATGTTTTCAGCCTCGTTCTTCTCCAAGTTTCCTCCGTAGCTTGCAGTGATCGGCACTCCCAAGTGCTTTGCTAGAAAGCATACCTTTCAAATTTTCTAGATTAAATAAGCACTTATTATGTTGAACGAAACAATTAAAAACAATAATTACCGGGTGGATCTTGGCTTTTCCGGAGTTAATGGTGACGTAGCCTGTGACGGCACCGAGCACGTACGTCGCGACGTGAGCGAATGGACGAAAGTAGATGTACCGTAGTGTTTCCAAGATTCGTCTGAAACGTTACGAGAAGCGAAGCAATCTGGCAGACATTTGGATAAAGGACTCAATGGTACAAATACGGAGGTAGAAATTGAATCTGTATCTATTAAATAGTCAGCCATATGTGAAGAGTCAATATGCTTTGTTACTGCTTGAAGTTAAACTATTTTATTTGCGTACATACTCGTTGCTTGAACATTTTATGGGGTTCCACCGTTTGGTAGACAAAGAGTCTATAACAACAAAATATTTTTTTATTGTTTCTTGTTGTTTGAAGGCTTAAAGACACTTAACGTGTCCACAGTACGTTACATAAAGCTCTGTTACTTTTGGTGTTTCTTGAATGAACAACGAGGAGCATTTTGTAGAACTTTGTGGGATAACATTACGTGATCGAAATGATGGATTCGTACCAAATTTATACCGTTGAACTATAAATGTTTGCTTAACTATGTTGTTTTTCTAATATCCCAATTCTTGTTTAATATTTTCATGTGGTAAAGTTACGTAATACGATTTTTAAAAATCCAGTTCTTTAAGGCAGGCTAATGCGACCTGAAATTAAAGAAGATATTAAAAAAATGCACGAACTCACACTCCATCATTTGTTCCAGAAGTGCCCGAATACAGAAGGTGCCAGGAATGTGTCTGTAGGGACGTCATAATTGAGAAGCCCAGCATAAGAATACCAGAAACCAGGAGGGCAAATTTTGGATACCTGAAAGAGACAAGAGTAGCATAAAACAAAATGCCGAGACAACAAAGTTCGTTAAAATAAAAAAAAATAAAAAATAGGATTAGGGTTACCTGATGAATAAAAGTGTGAGTGGGAAAGCGACGACCATGAAAATCTGCATATCCGTGCTCACGTACCAAAGATGAATGAGGCACTATATATTGAAAATAATGCATATGTTACAAAAATAAAACTCATGGCTATCATGCCGGCAGATAACTAGTGGCTAGAAAATTCAATTCTACACACGAGTTCATTAAAACGTTGCTGTAGCGCAGGGGTCGGCAAGCTTTCGTAGCGCCAGGTCGAGTCGTAATTAACCACGCTGACACGGAGGGGTCCATCTGGCAAGTCGCAGAGTTTGTTTGTCAGTATTTGTGTTGGAGGGAAAGGGGGGGGGGGGGGGCAGGCGAAGAAAAGGCAAAAAGGTAGTGAAGACGTCCTCTGCCCAGTGCGGACATTGTGAATTGGAAGTGCTCCTTATTAGTGCCTTACCCCACTTGAGGTTAAAACCGCCGTGCGGGCCTTAAGCCTGTCTGGGGAAAGGGGGAAAAGGGGTCCTCTAAGAAATGCCTGCGCCTCTACTTACCCACAAAACACTCGAAGAGCCAATCTTTGCGATCTACGAAATCAGCTTAGCGAATGATGAGGCGGAGCATCCGTTTAGACCTAAAAATGAAGCCTGCGCTGCGGCATTAAGCAATGGAAGCATGACATTTTGCACTGCGTAATGACACAGCGCAGACTTAATTTTGAGGTCTAAACAGATGTTCCGCCTCATCATTCGCTGAGCTGATTTCGTAGACCGCAGATATTGGCTCTTTGTGTGTTTTGCGGGGAAGTAGACGCGCAGATATTTCTTAGAGTTGGGAGGGGGGGGGGGGGGGGAGGGAAGGGGGTGGATGCTTCTCAAGTCTCCTACCGGGGGCCGCGGGTTGCCGACCCCTGCTGCAATGTGTTCCCCTCGACAATCGTCAGCATGAGGACAGTTTCCACAAAGCGATCAATCACATTTTGAATTTCAACTATAAAAGAGATACAATTAAAGGTCCTCTTTTTGTATAGAGTGGCGTTTCAGCTCGTTGAGGTTTATTCTATTTATCCATCTATTTTGTCTATTCTATCTATTTATAAATGAAATGTTTTTATATCTTTCTTTCCGGGTCTCCGGTACCTCCACTTAACTCCAATGATCACTTTAATTGTGATGTTTTTTGTTTTTGTTTTGTTTTTGCATGAAGTTGGTACATCTACACGTTCTCTATACTTTTTTTCACTTTATGTCCGTCCTCAGCCGGCACTACAATTCGACAGAGCCAATTAAGCAGTGCCATAAGTACATCGTCATGGCGCTCATTGTGTCTTTGTGCGTTTTCTATTACAGACTAGACCAATAACGTACAGTGAATGCCTAGATAAGAGCTTCCCAGATAAGAACTTCGTACAAAAAGCCACATTCTTTGAAGCGACGACTGCGTGACGGTGCAGGTTTTAGGAAGCGAATGGCGGCTCACAGCCGAGGTTTGAACTGAGTGCCGCCATTTTATTCCAGCGGAATGTGCTTTGTCATTCCTTTCGGTGTTCGTTACTTGTAAAAAAAGATTGAAGGGACTTTAGTTCGAACCTATACATTTCTGTACGTGATTGATTTAGCTGCTAATAAAAAAGAAAACCTAGAAAAATGAAAGACGTTTACGAATCTCTGTAACGCGAAACTAGAGCGCAGCTCTTGAGAAGGAGGGGAGGATACGGAAGGGCGGGTGTGGCCCTCCCCCTCCTCTGTACCCTCCCCTCCTCCTCCCCTGAATTTGTTCATGGATGACATGACACGAAGTCGTGACGTCATTTCCTCCGCTATATTTAGCTGTGAAACTGAATTGGTATTAAGGCCACGTGACATCAATTTTCCCGCTAAATTTAGGAGGAAAATTTCCCCGCTAAATTTAGCAGGAACATTTCCACCTGACTTCAGCGGGAGAACGTCCCATAATGCAACGCGCGCGGTTGCGCCGACGGTGACGGCGACGACGACTACCCTCAACGCGGAAACGGGCGCCTAAAAGCTAAGTTCTAAAAAACAAAAAACAAAAAAAAAAATAAGAGCCGTGACGATGCACTTTTTTTGCATCGGTTATCAGCCGGGTAAAAAATTCTGAGCTGCTGAGCTCTGGACGCGTGCGCAGGCTCCGCTATACAGCACAGCAGAGCAACAGTGCACGCTCGGAAGGCGTTCTCCAGCCCAGCAGACAAAGATGGTGCGCGAAGAAGGCGATTTTTGCAAAGGTATACGGACATATAACCACGCGTTATTGATAAACAGTTCTGGAGACTTGGAGAATGCATATGTGTAGTGTCTTTGTTTTATGTTTATGAAATCGCGAAAACGTTTTATAGCTACTGTCATTTTAACCATTGGTCGCGCAGGTTGTGGATACTCTAACATGTAAATAGTTGTTCTAGAGATTACTAAACAGAAGCAAAGGCGAAACGGTGCTTTTTGGGGATTTAGGGATCGATAAGGTAAATCCCCGCGACACCATTCTAACCCGTACACTTAGTCACTAAATGTTTGTGCCAAAATTCACTAAAAAAAAAGTACCGCCGAATGATTTGTTTCCGCCAACAAAAGTTCTGCCGGTTGGGACAACATTTTAAAGGTCTAAATTTTCCTTCATCGGACGAAACCAAAAACACACGCTTTTCGGGAATATTAAATGAGGAAATGTCGGGGAACATATCCTCCAGATACTTGGAGGGGAATGGCGTCTGCTTTCGGAAGCAAGCCCCGTGTCTTCGTTGAATATCCGAAAATCACTCATAACTTAGGAGTCAAATAACTCGAAATATTGGCATTTGGTCCATGAATCTAGAACTACTTTTAAGTTCATACTGAGCGTTCGGTGAGGCGTAATTGTTTATCGAAATGAGAAGAAACAGGGTTCACGTAACTGTCACACCTCATAAAAAAAAATGTGAATACATTTCCTTAGAGAACATGAGAGAACGAATCACGACGAACAGTCTACATTGCAGCGAATCACAAAACTGCGAAAAAGATTAGACTTAAAAAAAGATGCGAGCAGGGTTATGATTTTGACTTTTTACACGCGGATTCTCTCTGCGCACATCGGCTTTTTCAGATCAAGTCATATTATCAGGTTTATCATTTGCTGAGATCCCTCTATTCTTCACTGTGATTGGCTGTCTCCGTGTTCTGAGGGAAAGTGAGCACACCTGTTTTTTTGTTTTTTTTCTAGGACAGAAATCTGGCACTTTCGCGAAACAACTCAATACCCCTATCTGTGTTTCCGCGCGAATCTCGGCCTCACCATTTCGTGTATAGCGTTGAAGTTGTTGTAGTGCAAGAGCACGGTCCACCATCTGTCGGCGCAAGAGCCAACTTGCTGCGCCATCAGTTCCTGGTCTGCGGGACCGTCCGCCAGGAGGGGCAACAGGAAAGCCGCCAGCACCACGACCACGATGGGGAGCGTTAGTCTGGAAAACGCCGCGTTCTTTTCAACGGTGATAATAGACGCTTTCTAAACAGAGATACAAATATTGGGGTCGGAATCGCTGTGCAGATTGTCCTTGAGATGTGGTAGTAATTTGCACCATCTTGCACTGCGTAACATTTTTTTCTCAATTAAACAGCTTAGCTACTAATTCCTCGGACGGGCATTCTATGATGAAACAACATCATTTTCTGTAGCAATAATATAATTCAAAGGTTTCTTTTTTTACTTCATAAATAAAAACATACTATGTATATAAACATTATAAGATCTTGGTAACTGTATTTGCCGGACGGAAGCTATTATAATATGTCACATTTGTTGGGTGTATTGTCACTTGTATGTCGCTTGCTTTCTTGGTTACAAACTGTTCCACGGACACGAAAGTGCGAAGGGGTTTGTCAGAAATGCTGCAGGGTTTCAAATACGTGAGTCGTCGAGGAAACAATTTGCGTAAAAAACAACAGAATAAGCACTACGCAAAAACGTTAGGATCGGCGTATTAAAGTAAGAATAGAAAGGTAAATTTCGGTCCTAAAATGAATAAACATATTATCTTCTCCATTACGCAGCTTTAGAGCGTCCATCAGCCAGGCGAAATATTCACTTGGCTGTGGAGGCACGCACCACGCCTGATATTACACATAAAAGAGCTACTGCGCATGATCAAAAACGCGTCTCATAGACCATTGGATCAAAATGGCAGCACGCAAAATGTGGTTACTTGAAGGGTTATCTGCATAGTGCATCCGTATTCTTGCCATCTATCTAACAAAAGGTCGCAATTTTTTTTTATTTAATATAGTTGTTGATAAAGTAAGAAACTCGGGTTGTGTCTGACACTCGATCATGTTTTATTTCGTTCTGCAACCAATGAATTCTTAGTATTAGCCGAAAAAGACACCGAAGAATTAATCAAGAAAAATCAATATCACAAGGCACACCCTGCGTTTCTTAGGTATCCTTGACCGGAGTCCCAAAGTGCAGCTAATTACGGTTTGCGGTGTCGTGGCGGTAGCTTGTGGCGACAAGCCAAAGTACTCATTGAGAACTCTGCTCTCTAAAAAATGCCTCTTCGTCTACTTACCCGCAAAACACTCGAAGAGCCCATCTCTGTGATGTACAAAATCAGCTGAGCGAATAATGAGGTCGGAACATCTGTTTAAACCTCAAAATTTAGTCTGCGCTGTGGCATTACGCAATGTAAGTACGGCGCTTTGCATTGCGCAACGCCACAGCGCACTGTAGACTTTATGTTTACGCCTAATCGGATGTTCCGCCTCATCATTCATTGAGCTAATTTCGTATATTGCAGAGATTGACTCTTTGAGTGTTCTGCGGGTAAGTAGACGCGCAGGCATTTCTTAGAGTGTACTCTCAAAGTGTACTGCCCTACCCGTGAAGATCCTGCGACTCGAGAGATTCCTCCCCTGCCTGACCGGGAGCGTTGCGGCTCGGAGTCGTTACCCGCTTTCGGTTAAACGGCCATACAAACCGTTATATTCACAGATCCAAACGGTCTTATAACTAGATGGCGTTTAATAGCTCAAATAATGATTTTTGGTGAATCGCTATCAAGTTGGGACACCCTTTTCTTGGCGGGCTGTGATGCTAAAGAGGTTTTATGAGCGGCAGAAGGCGCACGCGTATATTATGTGATGAAAATTGGTGCATCTTTAATTACACTATATTTACGCTTTGATAAAAGGTAAGTAATTTTCAGACTCAATACATTTTAATTTCGTCATAGTGCATTGCGCCTTGCTTGTTTGATAGTTCACATCACTAACTGGAACACTTCTGCCCCAACGCTTTTACAGCCCACGCCAGATGAAAATCCATTCTTCTCCAGCCCTCTTTCATTTATTCCAACCAACCAAACTTAACTTTTAGTTTTTTTAATAATTTACATTTGCCTAAATCTCCCCACAGGACGAAGAAGGATCCTCACTTCTTAAAGGTTAAGCTGTCTGCTCCTTTTTTAAAATTAATATTTTGTGCTGCCTCAGCATTTTTCTTGCCGATATTATAATCATTCGAAACCTGTCTTCTTAAAAAAATAAAAATGAAAAAACTGTATTTTTAAAGTACATTTACTTACTCCTTATGTAGGTAGTGGTTGAAATTCTTTACTGAAGTTACTACCCAAATAGTGAGTGTGGCACAAGCTGCAGCCACCTGACGGTGAAGGCGTGGGTCAAGTTACCAAGATCAGGAAGCGCTTGGTGGAAGTTGTAAATGAAGGTAAGGAATAAATGATCTTGTTCTTAAAGAAAAAGGCTTCAGTTTATTGAATTTTATAAAAAAAGGTAGCTGAAAAAATAATTTTGTGTTTAGCTCCCCGTTTTCTTCGTTTGATTTAAATCAATTACATGAGGTAATGATGGCTTAAGTGCAAAACATATTGGCACATCAGAAGGTACTCTACTTTGTAGTGTATTAATAGATTTAATACAATATAGTTTAAGAACGTACATAAAAATAAATTTATATTATTTCAAATCAAGAAAGGAACTAAAATGCGTACAAAAAGGAGCTACACGCAAAAATGTTCCAAAGAAGGACAAAGCAAGCGTTTGGTTGCTGGTGGCTAGTCGGGTTTTTCTTAGGCTGCACTGATGATGTCTCCCGCATAGGAGACGAAACGTCTATTTAAACTTTGTTGATATTGTTATATAAATCGGGAGGAATTAGTTTTTAAAAAGGACCAGCGAAATGAGTTCACCCTTGTGCACTATAGATAGGCATAGAGTTAATAAACACTCAATTTTGCTCACGGTAAAAAAAGTGCGTATTTTGCGTGTATGAGTTGTTTCGTCTCGTGTTTAAAACTCCATAACATGAAGTTATTAAATTAAAGTGGTCCTGTTTTAAAGCCATCGAAGATTTGCGGTCGAGGGCCGCGAAATAAAACAGAATCCCGGCGATTATATATATTGCTAATTATTTATTTGATAAAAATCGCTACTGTTTAATATTAAATCTTAAATAAAGATTGATTGAACGCTTTCTATTGATATTTGGCATCTTTAGAATGTGACGGTTGGATCCAATAGCTCTTATTAGCATGCAAGCGATACTGCAAATTCGATACCTGAAATATCGCCGAAGAGCACCAATCACGTATACAGGAATCAAAAATCGTTTCTTGAGTAAGTCTCGGTGGCCAAGCATCAGGAAGGTTGTAACAAATCCACTGAAACAAATGGAAAACAACCGAATACGCTAATTATTAGAAACAAAAGTTCATTTTACAAGTGTGACGTTCGAGCTCAAATTAAGGACAGATCCGATTTCGAGAATTATACTAACTGAGACACTGTCGCTTACATTAGTTATATTTTGTTTTGAACAAAATCGAACAGAAAGAAACGTAAGTATCGCGTGTACATTGTGCAAACTAGAATCGAGACGAATACGGTGTACTGACGCGGACGTGCAAACTGTTGTTTTAAATGCGCGCTACTGCGAGCGTGTCTTACCTGAGAAAGAGAAATGTGGAAACACTAAGTAGAGCGTTGACGACGACTTGGAACAAAACCTTGTTGGTCAGCTCTAGCATAAAAAAAGGACTTCCTGCGTAGAATAAGAACGTGTTTTTTTTTAAATATAACGACACCTTAAAAAAAAATTTAAAAAATAGGACAGTCTTTGCCGGCCAGTTCGCGGTTGACAGTTTTATATGTACGAATGGCAACGCAATTTATGATTGAACATAGTTTTCTAATAATGTATCAGGCGCTCGTCGTGTTTTTTCACACTAAAATGGGAACCCACACCATATTTAGACTTTCAAATAATGAAAGCACATTTTACAGACCAACCGTAAAAATATAATTCAAATATATATATTTGAATTATATTTTTACGGTTGGTCTGTAAAATGTGCTTTCATTATTTGAAAGTCTAAACATTATTTGGGTTTCCATCTTAGTGTGAAAAAACACGACCGAGCGCACGACACATTATTGGCAAAAACTATCATTTAACCGTAAACTGCGTTGCATTCGTATATATAAAACTGCCAACCGCGAACTGACCGGCGCCGCTCTAAAGGCATTTATTTGTAAGCCTTCGCTCAAGTTACGTAGAAGAACATATATATATATATATATATATATATATATCGGTGTGTCGAACCGAAAAAAATACGGGTTCGGTTACGGTTCAGGTTCAGGTAAATTTATTTTGTTCCGGTTCAGTTCCGGTTCGATTAATTTGATCCGCGAACCGGTTCGGAAATTATAAATGACAAATTGCAACATCAAAATAAATTACAAATAACAACATCTGAAATCAGCAGATACGAAACAGGATACATCGTAGTGTAAGGCTCAGGGATTTCTACCAGGAATGGTTTCTTTATGTGCACTCAAAGGTTACCTCACCGACGTTTACGCATTCGGACTTCATCTAATTGGGTCCGACGCAGTAGCTGTAAAATCCGCGACCTCCTTACCAACCCACTTACAAGTAGAACTCGCTAACTATCCCGCCACCTCGGCGTGTAAGCAATTGAAGGAACAGTGGGGAGAAAATACAGCTTTCTTTATTTGAACTAACCTTCGGTAACTCAAACTAGACCCTTAAAGAAGTTTTCATTAAACAAGATGCGGAATATGAAAAACACTTCACCGAACGCAACGCCAGAAGGACGTAATAGGATAAATATTAAAATAGAAGAGCTCGCTGTCTCACAAATATGTTAGCTTCTAAGTGCCTATACGAAACCGGATCCATTATCATCAAACTCCACAGCCTTTTCTTTTCTCATTTCGATGGAAGCAAGCTTCAAGAACTCGCGCGTTCTAGAAACGTGTTTTGAAATGAGCACACAGCAGCATTTAGGATTTACGAGATTGTAAAAAAATAAAATCCCGTGACGCGATTTTTTTTTTTGCACAGCCTTCCAATTTTCTTCCTTCCGTGCAAGCCGCGACCAGCGCAATACTGGTTCCTATGTCAAGATTCATGGATGCAGCGTTTGTCAAGATTCATGGATGCAGCGTTTATATTCCTAAGACTGAGTGGAGAAGAAAAATATGTAAGCGAGGTGTGTGTCAGTTGACGGCACTTAGAGGGCAACTCCGGTCCATACTTTCGATTTTGGGATTATGGCTGTTTTTAGTGCAGTTAGCGCCCCTGAATTGCAAGGTGTAATTTTTTTCTCGTTATTGTGCGTAGTTTTAAAAATATCGACGTCTCAAAGTTTTGTTTCGGGCGCGGCCGACGAAACCGAAACTAGCCGCTCGAGGTTCCGGCAACACTGGAAATCAGCCGTTATGTGGACGTGACGCCAAGATCGTTCTCGTTCGGCGAGTACGCAGTCCAAGCGGCACCTACCTCTGTTGCGCTAGCCGTCTAAGGATAGAAGGTAAGCTGATTTTTTTTAAAATTCTGTATACGTGGTAGTTATCCAGCATATGTAGCAAGAGTTAGTGCGTATACCCAAAAGCTAGCGACTGGCAAACCCGTCAACTCGTTCGGTGGCGTACTCGGCGGCCGCCGCCGCACGTGCGCTATGCCGTGCCGTACTCGTTGCTTGTATACCCAAAAGCTAGCAACTGGAAAACGAGTGAACTCGTTCGGTGCCGTACTCGGCAGCTGTCGGCGGCGTGCGTGCGGTCTCCCGCACTCGTCGCTAGGCCTAAATTGTCATCGGGGCTCCGTGGATGGAGCGGCGTTGCTCTACGCCGCGCTGCCAGTGACGTACAGTGCTGGCGCTTTCGCGCGGCGGGTCAGTCCCAGATACGAAGCTTTGAGGCTCTTTGGCGCTTTCCGCGACAACCGCACAGACGTGTGTCAAGCTGTAGACGTCTGTTTTTTCGTTATTTTTTCCTCAGGCGCGTAAAGGCCGAATGTTTTAAGCTACGACAATAATTCACCACATAAGTTCGTCCAAGTGGTGAATCCTTGTACAAATAAAAAAAAAACAACTTGCCGCACTAAAAAAAAAGTTTTTTGGGCAGTCATTTTCTTCTCAAAGCTAGCAAAAGTGTTTGTGGGTGATAAAGGAAAACAGAGGACGTTAGCAAGGTGAGAACACTTTCTTTCCCTTCCGCATTCCCACCCCCACCCACACCAATTTTTTTTATTAGAATACATAGGATTTTAAGTTTTCCTTCGTAACTTCTGACTAAGGCAAGTGTTTTTTCTTTTTTTTTTTGCATTTTTAAATATTATATTTACCTCCAGCCGAACTCGGGCAAATTAGGAGTCCTAACTTACAAATCCGAACTTTCGCGATTTCTTTAAAGTCCCTTGTGGTATTCACGAGCGCAATGTTAATTAATACTGCTGCGTAACGGGTTCGAACGATTGGGAGGCGAATGTTTATATCGCATGAGCTTCACGCGCCGGCTGTTCGCTAGTAGTCGTTACGGGCCTGAATACTACGCACGAGATTGCGTAGTAAACAAGCAGTGACGCAAAGCAGAACATTGTTTTTGTTTTCATTACAAACTTCAGTGTTTGGAGCTAGTTAGTGGTTGTACTCTACATGCCCACCATTCCCCATTCAACAGACATTCAATGGAGCGTGAATGCTCAATCTTCAACACTGCACTTGACAATGACTGTTTTATTTATTGATCAGGATACTTTTATCATGTTTACCTTTTCTGTACATGTACGATGGGCAAAGAGCGACGGCACGGCATCCTTTTTAAGCCTCGACGCCTTTGCTGACAAGCCACATGCAACCAACACCTGTAGGTTTCGTTCGTAACTCTCCGGCGAAATATGATCGGAGCAGAGCTTCGATCTGGGGGTCGACGTCCAAGGCTTTCCAAAGTCCACTCGTCGAACAGCGTTCACCCACACCTTCTCCAATTTCCGATCCGTTGGAAACTTGTGAAAAAGCACCTCCGGGTTGCGCAGCGGCTTGTTTGAGCAGCCCACAGCGCTTTAAGTTGTACTCGGCATCTTTCGAGGAACAGCTGCGCAGTCTTGGGCGCACCGAGTTGCTCGCTAAAACGGGTCTAGGAGTCCTCACAAGCAAATAAACAAAAAGCTATACCGAAGCTACACGGGCTACAGGTAAAAGCAACGGCTAAACACGCAATTACAAGCCGAAGTAGCGGTAATAGCGGCACAAAGAAGCGCGCGCGACGGCTGCGCCGTGCGCCCGTCCGGAACGGAGGAAAAAAAAGAGACGACGTTGACATCACGGCCCAATGTTGCTTTAGCAATCGGCAACCCGCTGGCCGCCCGCTAAGGAGCAGCGGCTCGCGGCGGGTCGCGTTTTTATTATCGGCATTAGTTGAGAATGCGGCGTCCCACGGACGTGAAATTTTGGCTGGGGTCGCATTTTGTGTCACTAAAGCTATACCAGTAATTTAATTCATTTTGAGTTTTGGCCGGAGTTGCCCTTTAAAAAACAAATGGCATTGATAGCACCTTCATTGTCAACAGCGCGTGGCCGAACCGTTTTGACATGAGCCGGTAACCGTTATTTTTTTCCGGTTCAGTTCCAGTTCGGGTTCATCGCGATAACAAAATAACGGTTCGGGTTCGGGTTCAGTTCCGGAAAAAATACCGGTTCGGTTCCGTTCCGGTTCGACACCCTGATATATATATATATATATATATATATATATAAAACTGAGAAGAAAAAAACCCTTAGTGAAAACAGCAACAACGGACGATTTAATCTTCGACGTTTCGGCCGGAGTCCAGCCTTCGTCAGGCCGGACTCCGGACTTCGACCTTCGTCGGCCGGAGTCCGGCCTTCCTGACGAAGGCCGGACTCCGGCCGAAACGTTGAAGATTAAATCGTCCGTTGTTGCTGTTTTTCACTAAGGGTTTTTTTCTTCTCAGTTTTATACCCACGCCTTCGGCCTCCCGCCACCATGCCCGTTATATATATATATATATATATATATATATATATATATATATATATATATATATACATACATACCGTTGACAGCTTAATACAAACAGTGCGTTAAGGTTCCCAAGCATACTCATTCATATCTTTAGCCATCTAGACTGCTTTAGCCATTAAACAAAAGCCGAAGAATGAATCACAAAGCGACAAGAGTGAACAAAATAAACCACGCCGCCCCCCCCCCCCCCCCCTTTTTTTTCTCTCTCTCTAAGCATCAATGACTATAGTGCTGCGCGTATAAACTCATTCGTGCGTACCGTGCGGTACTTCCCAAGACTTGGATTTATATAATTTGTTACCCTAAGTAAATAGTTTTATTTAAGAATTCTAAATTAAGAAATTAAAGGCGTATTCAGGGCTAAGAATTTCGGTATTTTCGTGTTTCTAAAGCTTTTTTGTTGTTTCTTTATTGTCAGTGACAACTCAATCAACGCCGGGCGTGGCAGGTTCCAAATAACTTATTACCGCTTCGCAGGCAATGATATTGCCGCATTATGAGATGTGATCTCCAAAGAACAATTCCCAAAGCAAAAATGAAAGCCTGTTACAACTCCCTGTTATACCGAAATAGAGCGCAGCTCTTGAGGAGGAGGAGGGAAAGGTACTAAGGGGAGCGTATACAGCTCCTCCTCTCCTCCTCATCCTGCCTGCTACAGCTCCCTCCGAGCGGCGTCGGCGGCGCCAT